CAGATGTCTGTGACACGCATATTTCTCCCAAAAGCAACCATCGATTATATGGCCTACAAATGCAATCTGCTTTTCCTGCTGGAAGGGATACAGGATGAGTGATACGATTGTGATGGTGGCCCTGCCCCTCCCATCCTTTGGTTTAACTGAGAAGCTGACAGACTCCTATCAGAGGGGAGTCCTAAGAACAAAACCTAAACACTGTGCCCCCTCTTCCCCAAGAGCAGCAAGCATTGAACAATGTATTAAATAAAATAATAGGTGGCAAAAGAAAAAATACTCATAATGTACATTACGTAAAATTCCCTGACATCCTGCGACAGGGCTGCCTGGCCGTGAGCACACACGGAGGGTGACTCAAGCCTCCCACCTCCTTGGAGTGCTGATTGAACACCACCCAAGCACGGATAATGTGGCCTGGAGCCAAAGGCATGGCTTTCCTTTGTGCATTACTGCTCCTTCGTGACTGTAGTAGCTGAAGTGTCGACTCAGTCACTGTATTTTGTTTCTACATTTAATATTTAGGCCAATAAAATGGGGATGTTAAAACCTCTTAAAATCGATAGTTCTTCACGACTAGGAAGGCAGGTTGATTTCAGTGAGCTCAGGCAAGAGGGCCGATCCTTAACATTAGAAAGGTCAGCTGCATAGACTCAAGCAGATGTGTGGCCAGAGGTCATGGCGCAGTGGTGCCAGGACCTGAAGAAGTTGAGGAATGAGACCAGCAGCTTCACCCACCCTCAGTGACCCCCAGTCTCCTGCTTTCACTTCCTCATCAGCACCTGCTACACTCCTCTGTCGTATGTACATGTGGTCCACTGTGGCTTTCCAAATCCCTCCACACACTAATAAAAGATTCCGATGCTATCAGCTGAGATTATGGGTTCTCTCTAATCATGGTGGTTTCCAGAAGGAGATGAGATGGAGTTGAATGAGTGTCCCTCTGGGGAAGTAAAAAGAGAAGTGTCTCTACAAAAGGCATCTGAGAAGGAAGGTTGACAGTCTGATGGAAGAAATGATTGGCATATCTAATCTAACAGCTGTGAAGATCAAGGGACATTTATGGCAGATATAACAGCACTTTAGAATCAGTGAAATATTGCACAATTGTTAGGCACCGAATACCCTATACACTATTCTCAATGGCTTCATACCCTCTGGAATGAGTAATCCATCTCATTCCTTTTGACTCTGAATGACACAAGATTGGGAACCCTCCAATGCATTCAGTATATGAAGACAAACCCAGAATACTGATCTCAGGAGGCGGGTAATGTTCCACAGACACATAAAAACTTAGAGCAGTAGCTCCCAAAGACAGTGTGGGATGACAAGTGGGTGTTTTTTATTTAAATCCCACATTCCTCAAATTTCATCACAACCCTGGTCTCCAACATCAAGGTTGGAGCAGATGGATTCTCACCGCATGGACCCAAAAATTATATTCAATTTTTAAAATGTGTGTCAACCTGTCATCTCACACAACTCTGCACTTACACTGTGTTATTCAGTGTATTCAGAGGTTCTGTCTCTCCAAAATGCATTTGAGGAATATCATTTAAATAACTGATAAAACTCAAGTCAGTGTGCATCAACATAATGCTCAGCTGAATGTGTTTTCCTTTTTGATATTCGCATGACACGTTGCTTGTATCCTGTATACTTCTGTGCTAGTCTGTGACCCTCCTGAAGTCTCTGCCTTCATGCTGTAGGCATGGGATGGCTCCTGTCCACAGGGAAGTGAGGACATCTATCTCCAGCACCTCCACTCCCCCCATACACTCTTTCCTCATCTATTTGGCTTTTACCTATTTTTAAGATCTGTAATAATGGTCAGCATAAAATAATAAATAAATAAACTTGTTCTTAATCAATGCAGGTCACTACCATTTATATATTAGCATGGATTTTGGCCATTATGACTCTTCTCCCAAGACCATTTGCAAAGGAACTCTACAACAAAATAAAAAATAACTTTGTTTCCATTAACATAATGTGGGTATTTTTTCTAAGCAAATGAGCCCTCCTCTCTGATGTGAGCCCTCCTCTCTGATGTTCGCTACCTGACCCACACTGATGCCATCAACATGGATGAAGGCTAAGGCTGTACACTGATGTCATTAATGAGGGCAAGGGCTGGTTCTGCACTGTCCAGTGCCTATGTACAGAGATAAAGCATCACGAGGACAGGAACTAGATTCCACACAACAACACACATATGGGAGGGAGTGTGGGGGGGATTTTATGGAATTATAGATAGATATTGTTCTAAGCAAAGATGTGCTTTTGGTAAACAAAAAGTAAGTAACCAAAGCTCCCACATAGCAAATGTTGACAAATGGACACAGGCAAATATAAATCTCTGAGTGTAAACAGTGCTTTCTTCCAATCAGTTACTCTCTTCATTTCACCTCAATCCTGACAAAGCATTAGATAAATAGTCAAAAGGAGGGAAATTGCTGGCTAGACAGCTAAGAAACCATAACTTTTGTTTTATAGTCTTTTGCTTTTGAAATGCCTTTTATTTTGGAAATGCATGAGACCTTGATCTCTGTATCTCTGTGTAGATGTAGATACAGACTCAATAAATTACAAAGAAACCATTAAAAAAAAAAAACAAAAAAACACAAGGGCCCTCCCTGGTAGCGTAGCGGGTTAAAGCACAGCTCTAAGAAGCTAAAGCCACTTCCGCATGAGTTCGATTCCTGCCTGCCCCGGAGGTGACCACATGGCGTGGCAGACCTCTCCTGGCCAGCCCGCTGCTTCCCTCAGCAGTGTACTTCGTCCATCTGCCTGTTCTGCTCCCCACTCTGTCTCTGGTGAAGTCTTTCGCCACCCCTGAGTCTCTGGCCTGTTCCCCAGTTCTGTATGCACAAATAAAATCTTAAAAAAAATACACATAATTAAAAAAAAACAACAACACAGGCATTCCTCAAATCCACTATTTAGGTTAAAAAAAGAAACTGACATTTTAGAAGTTCTCTGTCACATCCTTTACTGTACATAGATGAGCAGTAAATAGACACAATCACTCAAATAAGTTAAAATGACATCTTGCATTATCTTAAAACAAAACTTTAAGGCAACAACTTTTAAGAGGACAAGATAAGTTACTGCTTCATAAGCAATATGAAGATCTAAAAGTCAAGGACAAAGTAAATTTGTGCAGGAGCTAGCAGCATCCTGTTCTTATCATTTGTGGGTGGAAAGGGAGGAGATAGGGTGCCCACCTGTGTAATTCCTATAATTTGGTATTTTCAGATTTTGCAGAGATAAGATACATCGCTAAGTGAAATTTTTAGTGACAATCTTATACTTAAAATGTTTCATGGCTGAGCACTAGATATTCTTAGGCTTTGCACTTACCTCAGGGCTGGCTTCACTGTTATCATTTATATTCCCAAAGAAGTTGTGCACTATATATAAACTAACTGGTCCAACCTCACTGGGTATAAAATACATCAGTCATATCTCCACAAAACTTTCTAAAGAAACACTTCATGACTATGCTTCCTCTCATTAAAATGGCTAGAAACTCACAGAACTTCTTCCAAAGGATGTTGCATCCTCTTGCCATCTGGGAAGCTAAGTGTTTTGTTTTTTTTTTTTCTTTCTTTGTTCTTTCATACTTTGATATATTTGCTAGCATTTGGCTGGCTTGCATCACAATTGCTATTTGGGGATGTTCAGTTCCTTGCTTTGTATATTTCTATCAATGTCCATTTTTTCATTTTGTTTGCAAGAACATTTGTAGAACAGGAATGAATTAAAATCCCATTACTCTGAGATCTTTCAGCACAGTTTTTGGCAATTTACAGTAATTCACCAACCCTCTGCAGTCTACATCCTGATATCAGATTTTGAAGAATGTATATCCTTTTACCTTTGTTTGTGTGTATTCTGCAAAAGTCTTTCGCTTATCGAAGTCTCTTAATATGTCTGTGAATATGTGTATGGCGTTTTCTGCATATGCATTATTCTAACTATTGTTTCCCTTTTTAAATATCTGATATCCATATATATTTTTCTCTTTTCTGATATGATTTCCTCCTTTTCCTCTTCTTCCTCATTTTGTTTTCTCTTTAGTTTCTCTTAGTCTTAATTTTTCTCTTTTTCTCTTTGTTTTCACCTTCAGTTATTGTGGTTTTCCCTCTGTACCCCCTTTCTTCCTTGCTCCATAACTTCCTTACTTTTAGACTTATTCACACCCTTCCTCACTGGCTATAATTTGAGTTTAGTATTTCCTGTCTTAATGAGTAAAAATTATGTTCCCGGCTGATTTTTAGTCATAAAATTTATCCCAGTATTTATTCTTTGTTCATTTTCTACACATCAATCTTTATGTCAATGTTCCTTTGAAGAAAAAGATTAAAATGGCTGTCCACAATCACCTTCTTTTACTCTCTGTGACCTGCTCATTACTTTGACATCACCGTTCACTAATTAATACCACAACTTTCAAGTCCAAAATTCAAATTTTAGTTGCAAACTTTGTGTTTTCTACAAAGCTTTAACAATAAATCTACATTCTGAGATGAGGGGAGAAATTGTAGAGGATTGATTTTTTTTATCCTGCATTTTCAATAAAAAAGCTTAGTTTGTATAGCAATAAAAAGAGGAAAATTCAGAAAATATAAATTATTCATTTTTATGTATTTTTCACATTCAGAGTCGATTCTTTTTAACTTTTTCTGATGATTTTTTTTTGATTAACAGAATTTTCATAACTGAGAATCTTTGTTATTTTGCATACATTATCACTTGCATCTCCAAAACTTCTTCCCCTTTGATATACAACCTCTTACTTCCTGGCCCAATTTTCCTACATCATTTCTCATTAAGGGCTACAAAATAGTGTCGAAGGATCTACTAGTAGAAGTAGGAAGGATGATTTTGGGTGTCTGTTAACAGGGACTTGCAGTAGGATACATTTTAGAAATACAGTGTAAATATAAAACATCCCTAATTAGCATATCTGTGACAAAAAAAAAGTGCCTTACCCCCTCGCTTATTAATCTTCGCGTAGCCAGGAGAATAACCCCCAGACATTGAGGATGAGCTGCTGAAAGCTGAGTGAGGAAGAGCAGATACCAGTGGCTCATCGCATTTTTCTGAAAAGAAATGAAAAGGAGAGTTAATAAAAAATCTTCGAACAGTGATTGGTGTCTATAAGTTGATTTAGTTAAACTAAGGAACAAATCCAGTGTTTATTTTAAAATATATGACATCACGGGCCCTCCCTGGTGGCGCAGCGAGTTAAAGCGCAGCACTAAGAAGCTAAAGCCACTTCCACATGAGTTCGATTCCCGCTGGCCCCGGGGGTGACCACATGGCCCGGCAGACCTCTCCTGACCCGCCCGCTGCTCCCCTCAGCAGTGTACTTCGTTGATCTGCCTGTTCTGCTCCCCACTCTGTCTCTGGTGGGTTCTCTCACCCTCCGCATCTCTGGCCTGTACCCCAGTTCTGTATGCACAAATAAGTAAATCTTTAAAAATATATATATGACATCACATGAAGGAAATGATCAGACTTTAAACAGCGCAGTTACGGTCATTCTAATAATCATGGGGACAGGTGAACAAACTCCTCATGACAACCACGAGGAACTCAACTCAGATCTGCTGAGAATCTAACTGAAGTTGAGATTGTTTATTTAATAAATATTAGAATGTGCCACTCCTGGATCTGAACAGGCCTGTCGGCAGTTTGGGGATAAAGATTATGCAGAAACATTGATTCAAAGTATTGAGACTGGAGGAGGCAGGCCCAGGCGTAACCCTGAAAAGCCAAGAGATTTAGCAATAAGCGTCGGTAAACAAGACCCTAGAATGATCACAACCTGCGAGACCCGGACCAGCCAGCTCGCCAGGGCCCGCCGTGCCGGACCAATCACTGCACAGAACCAGCCGATCCTTCCAGTCTGTCCTTCATGAGTTTATAGTGGAATGAACTCCCTCCTCTTCCCGCACTACCGGCTTGCTCTTTACACCCTCTGGCAGATCATTCTCATTTTCCCAGTGTCTCACTGGTAAAGTGCCCAGAACTCTGCTCCTCTCTCTCCCCAATGCTTTCACCCTTGAAGATTGCACCAACGACTGAATTCCCTGCAGGCATCTTCCAAAATTCATCTCACACCACCGGTTCAATCAGCCACAGACCATCACATTGCAAAACACTGCAAAGTCTTCCTGCTTCCCCTCTCCTCTCCTCTAGTCCTTCTGCCCATGGTAGCTTAGTACAATTTTCAAGGTAAACGTGGGTCATGCCCACCAACCCTGTGCTCACAAGTCCTCAGAAGCTCCTGCTCTGTGACACAGAAGAAAGCTCGATGTCCCTAGTGGCCAACAGCGGTTACTGCACCGGTCCATCTTAAGCATCCTTGGTCGTTACTGTCCAGACACCAGAGTGCCCTCCCTTTTCCTTCAAGGCCAGCTTGTTCCTGCCATGTAACTTGACAGTTACTACCCCAGGCCCATTACGGCTCTCACCTCACGCATCCCAAGCTCTGCTCAAGGTCACTTTCACTAATGCAGCCAGCATTTCCTAGCCCACAATGCATGGCGTGCTTTGTTCCAACCTTTCTGTCTGTATGGACTTTATTTCCCTTCATAGCTTCCACAGCCACCTCATTAAGTTGTCCAGTTGCTACTATTTCTCACTAGACTAGAAACTCAATGGGAATAAAGTTGTTGATAGTTGCTTAAAGCTTACTCTCCAGTGATATGAAGAGCACCTGGAGCTTGGCACGGGCTCTGAAAGCATTTGGAGAATGAATAAATGAAAGAATAGAGAAAAACCAAGCAGCTAAGCCTGACAAGCCTCAGAGGCCCAGGCCACAAGGTTGAATTACAACATGGTACAACACCTCCTTTCAGAGAGATGGCCACTCAGACAGATGGGTATGCATGCTCTCTTTGACGAGACAGAAGTGCACTGAATATTCTGGAAAGGTTTCTGTCACAACATCGACAAACAAAAGGTTTTACCAAGAGCAGGAATGAGTTAGTTGTCTTGAAAAGTCACTCAAGTGGAATGAGGCCCCTGATGATAACAGAGAAAAATTAATATTCATGATCTCTTCACTTATTTTGTGTACAAATCTGAAGTTAGAATAAACAAGACAATCCTCAAAACATTGTCCGGTATCTTGGTTTTCTTAGTTATGCTGGAAGTGTCTTTGGGAAAGAGAGTGTGTGCATGAATAAATTCCCCAGAAAGTTAAATGTCAAAGAATGAAAAGAGGAACACAACTTTGATTTCACAGTATCACTTCATAAAGCAAGAATCTGTAGTGAATAACTCCACATTAATTGCTTAAAAATTAACTGTTCAGGGCCCTCTCTGGTGGCACAGTGTGTTAAAGCACAACATTAAGAAGCTAACACCACTTCAGCATGAGTTTGATCACCGTCCCAGAGGTGACCCACATGGCGTGGCAGACCTCTCCTGACCCGCCCGCTGCTCCCCTCAGTGGACTTTGTTGATCTGCCAGTTCTGCTCCCCACTCTGTCTCTGGTGAATCCTCTCACTGCCCCTGCACCTCTGGCTTGTACCTCAATTCTGTATGCATAAATAAATAAATATTTAAAAATTTAAAAAATACTGTTCAATTTAACTGCTAATGAAAAGTCACAATCTCCTCATTCAGACACTTGAGTGTGACTTCTTAGAATGTTTGAAGCACGTTCTTCGTTTAACTGGAATAACAGTAACATACGTTTCCACACTGAGGATATGTTAATATTTATTTGTATTTCATTCATTTAAATATGTATGGATCATCTACACTGTTCCAAGCACAGGGCATGCAGATGAAACTGACAACTATGGGCTGTCTTCATGGAATTTGTGTTTTAATGGAAAGAAACAGGTTAAAATCTAAGGCACCTTTACAGTATGAAGTCCTAATAAAGGCTACAGAGACACACCAGAGATGAAAACAGGCAGACTTGGGGTTTGGGGTGGGGTAAGGGGGGAGTTCTATTTTTTATTTATTTTATTTTATTTTATTTGCTGCCTTTGCAAGGAAAGTCTCTGCACCAGGGTGAGCTCTGTGGGCTCTGTGATGACCCTAGTTAGAAATCACCAGGATCATGCTGGGAAAACATGTTCTAGTCTAAACCTGCTCAAGTAGGGTAGTAAGAACTAAAGGTGCATTTCTCCCAAGTGACCATTCAATGTTACATGGAAAGTAATTCAAACGAAGTTGATGAATAATTGTTTAAATGATCATCCACTAACTTAAGTGCAGAATTTAAAAATGGTACTTACAAAACCTGAAGATTGTTCCTCCAAATTAATTTTTAAAATTTGACTTCTATAACAAATTGATCATCTTCACACCAAATTTACAACTTTCCACGATATTAGAATACATATAATTCAGAATAACAACATTAAAGTAAATTTGACCCAGCAAAGAACATAGGAGTTTTTTTTTTTTTTTTCTTTTTTTTAAAGGGAGCCATAAAACTGTTTTCAGAATTTAAGCACTGGTAATTTTATATTCTTCTAAACTGAGATATATCCCATAGCTCTATCATTATGTAAGGAAAATGCTACATGTACAGTATAGTCTCCTCGAAGATTTTAATCACAAATATCCTCTGTTACCTTAATCTATGCTTTGCATGGTTCTAACAACTTTGGGTAATAAAAATTCTCTGTGACTCATTCCCACCATGAGTGGCAATTATATTAGAAGACACAGAAGGTGATTAAGCATGAAGCAAGAGAATAATGCCTATTTGTGATTCAGTTTGCAAAAGAATATAATGAAGTCCAGAAAGTAACAGCTTTAAAGCCCAGGGCTGTTGTTTTGGAGAACTGGTCAGTTGTGAATTCATCCTCAAGTGGGATGCGGACCCCAGGAACAGAAGACTAGGGTGAAATGAGGGAATCAGCTCTAAATCTCTCCATCACTGTCAAGTCCCAGTGTTCACAGATGGTGTCCTATAAACCAAGTCTGGCCCACTGCTCACATTTTCAGTAAGGTTCTAATGGTACGCAACCACGTGCGGTCATTGATATCATGCCTATAGCGGCTTCCACACAGTGGTGGAATGTGACCAAAGAGGCCACACGTTCATCAAAGAGGCCACAAGGTTTCCTAAGGTAAGGTATTTTCTATCTGGCCGTTCACAAAAAGCTTTCCAATCTCTGCTCTAGTATCACAAATCTTCCATTTAGCCAGCAAGAAGAATGATGAATGATTACTTATGGTATCAGGACATGAGAATGATGAGTAAGGTTGAAGATCTGAGGGAACAGAGATGGCTGGAAAGAGAGTTGAAGAATGTTCTAGAGGGAATAATGTAGGCAATTTCAGGAGGCCACACCATTACCCAGAGGCGGTTGCTCTGGGGCTGCATGCCTGTGCCTATTCTGCCAGGGTGTCTACTCTGATGACGGATGCATGTTATTCCGGCTGTAGTTGTGATTACACTCAGTGTATTCCAGAGTCAGTTTGCTGTTTGTGTAGGACATGTTTCTCATTAGTCTGCAGACATTAAATACAAGGAACTCAGGTGACCCCCTGCAGAAAGTTTGTAGAGGAGAGAGGGAGAGAGAGAGAGAGAGAGAGACAGAGAGAAACAGACAGAGACAGAAACAGCAGAGAAAGATGCTAACATGTGAAATAATTTAGTGTTTTATTTCCCTGTACTGGGATGGTTTCCAAAGCTACGGCCAGACAGTGATGGCAAATATTTGGTCTCCACTGTGCTTCCCTTCCAGGGAATCTTGGATGAAAACTAGAGGAGCAGATGGGCCTTGAGTTTTATTTTCACACAATTTCAATCAGGAAGGCAGAGTAGCTGTAAGGATTCTGCACTACTTCAATCTGGAACACTGGAGATTCTTGGCCGATAGAGATGAAGTGGCTGTTGCCCCCAACACCTATGAGAACATCGTTGAGGGGATCTACCTGGTCAGGACAGTGGCGGGAATGTGCAAGGCCAAAAGACATCAGAACATGCGGCGTTGACGTGAGACTTGCCAACTAATTATCTCTGGTGAAAATAAAATTGGGAATTTTTTACAACTGATTATCTACAATAATCATGACACTTAAAAATACATGGTTGGTACCATGGATTTGGAAATATAAACCTAATTCACAGAAAACAGTGAAGAATAACAAAGGAATTTTGCCAGAATCAGATGGTTTTATCAGCACAGAAATTCTAGCAAAGTCCTCTTTCCTGCTTAGAAAAAAAAAAAAAAAACAAAAATCAGTCATTGTAAAGGGCACTTTCTCAGTGGACTGCACACTCCGTGGTCTTGCTTCATCCTGGGCATTCAATGCCTGAGGTTAGAAGCTGGAGTCATGTCACCTCTACCTGTGTGGTTGCCTGGCCTCAGGTTGTATGACCCTTTCTTCTCACAATCAGACAAATCGAAGAGGGTGGATTTCCCTTTATCTCCTCGGTTTCCGATCAATAGGTTCCTGCCTTGCAGCTTAGGGCCCAAACCATCTTGAACCACAAGCTGCGTGGCTGTGTGCCTCACCCCTGCTCTGGCTCCGCAGGGGCCAGTTCCTCTGGGGTATGGCTGTCTTCCCCTGCAGCTCATTCCAGGCTCTGGAGTCCCCGTCCACGCCCAGGATGGTGTCCTGCCTCCTGCTCTTGAACTTCCTTTTACTCCCTCACTTACCCACATGCCCGATAGGTCACTGTGGTCACCACAGAGGAGGCCACTCCCTGTGTGTCCCACAATGTTCACTGGGTCCAATCTACTGGCCCCTAACATTACCGTCCGTCTCTGAGGGCTTCATAAGTCACAAGTAGTGATGGACTTAGGCCAACAAAGACTTGTTTGGGATTTAGCGTTTCTACATTTCAGAAACTTTATTCCCAAGACTGTGAGTCCTTGTTTCTTTAATTTCCTTTCCAATAAAGAAGAAACAAAGGATAGGCAGAGAGGAAGAGACAGGAAGAGAGAGAAGGAATAAAGGGAGGGGGGGAGGAAAGAAGGAAGGAAGGGCACCCAGCACTATCAATAACTTCAAAATCTTAGCACCAGACAACCCATTATTTTTACTCCCCATAAAATTGGGCAGCTGGTTGCACACAGATTGTATTCTGATGCATCAGAAACACAGAGTTTGTCTTCTTTTCAGCATGCGTTAGTGCACAGACACTGTAGTTTCCACCTAAGAACTCTGCTAACTTTAGCATTCTATTAAAAAACAAATACAAAACAAGCTTAGATCACCCCATATGTCATTGTGGATCCAAGCCCTTCTGCTTCTCCTTATGGAGAGGAGGTAATCAGATCTGGAAACAAGTTTGTTTGACTTTAATAATTTATATTAGGACAATCAAACATTCCATCTTCTTTAATGGCAGATGAAGAAATAGAAATGGCATAGGAAATAGAAATGGCACATTCCCTTCTGGCACTTTTCTATCACCATTAATTCAGACAGTTGCGATGCATTCTTTTTGTTAAATCTAACATTGTCCAATAAATATTTTCTGTGGATCGTGATGACATTCTGAGGAAGCAGTAGGCTGAGGCCTCCTCAATATCAGCAGACTGGAAGAGACCACATGTTCCCGCTATCATGACGTCTGGGTCTTACACTCTGCAACTTGAACTTGAATAACTTCATTTAGTGCTGGCTGACTCTCTCAGCTATTCCATTCCATTTCCTAAAGGTCCTTTACAACTCTTGAATTAGTTGTTCTATGACTTTTTAAAATCATAGCAATAGAAGAATATATAGACTAAAAAATCTGTTGTAGGAATATGCAGAAGATATTTGCTTCTTTTTTTGGGAGGGGGAAACACCATTTATGCTATTATCTCCCATTCAACTACTTTACTTCTATCACATATTTATTTATTTATTTGTGTAGAAAAGCTGGATTCTAATCCAGAGGTGTGGGGGCAGGGGGTGTAGGTGAGGGAATCACCAGAAACAGAGTGGGGAGCAGAATGGATGGATCCACTGAAATCCACTGCTGAGGGAGCAGTGGGTGACAGGAGAGGTCCATGTGCCATGCGGATCAGCTCCCTGGCTGGGGATATAACTCAGGCCACAGCAGTGACAGGGCCACCGCTTAGTATGGGTCATGCATTGTTCTCTATGCTGCTTGATCCAATTCCCCAGGCTGCTATTTGGCACAGGAAGCAAGATCCATCCTTTCTTGTCCCCATAAAATTCCATGTAAAGAAATGACTTTTATCATCCATAAATCCACATACACATAATGTACGTAATAGAACTGGTAAGTGCAAATAGCAAGAACATCTAGAATCTGGACCTTAGTATACTCTTTTGGATAAAATGAACTATGATAGAACTTCTCTTTTAGACTCTCATGCTTTTATGTATTTCATTTCCTATAGAAATATTTTATTCCTTATATTAGGTTCTGTATAGCAGGATTAAACTGCTTAGCATAGAAAGATTACAAGAATGCAAAAGTGGCCCTCCCTGGTGGAGCAACAGGTTAGGACATAGCACTGCAGGCTGGCCATGCTGATTCAGTGTGAGTTCGATCCCTGGCCCCACAGCTGACCCACATGGCGCGGCAGACCTCTCCTGTCTCTCCTGCTGCTCCCCTCAGCAATGTACTTAAACAATCTGTCTGTTCTGCTCCCCACTCTGTCTCTGGTGAATCCTCTCACCCCATCCCCTGCACTGCTGACCTGTACCCCAGTTCTTAATGCATAAATAACTATTCTCTTTTTAAAATAAAAAAATGCAAGAGTGTGAGATCATGGGTATTACAAAATGTATCACTTAACTGAAAATTCATTGGTTTTCCCTATGATGCATATGTTATTCACTTACCTGCCTGACACAAGGCCTTATAAGGGATGCTGACCATGAAGAGACATTCATTTAGTTACCATCAAATGCTAATTTGGGGCCCTCCCTGGGGGCATATCCCATTAAAGCACAGCATTACAAAGCTGGACACTGCTGCTTCAATATGGGTTCAATCCCTGGTCAGGGAGTGACCCACATGGCGCGGCAGACCTCTCCTGTCTCGCCCACTGCTTTCCTCAGCAGTGTATTTCAGTAGATCCGCCTGTTTCGCTCCCACTCTATCTCTTGTGAATCCTCTCACACTCCTGCACCTCTGGCCTATATGGCAGTTCTGTCTAAATAAATAAATCATTAAAAATGTTAATTTGGGGGACTTTGAAATACAAAGACATTGAGGTAACCCCTCATTGCCTGGACAACAGCAACAGAAAATAGCTATGGAAGAGGTAACTGAGATGCAGGATTCGTGACTAAACAGTGAGCACTCAGAAGTGAATGACGCTCCGTTTTGGCTCTGTTCTAGGCTTAGATTCAAGTCACACTCTGATTCAACACTCCTGTGGCCATAGCATTACTCTACAATAGCCAAGGTACAGAAACAAGAGAAGTGCCCAGGGCAGGCGAGTCAATGAAGATACAGCATATATGCACAATGGCGTGGTGCTCAACTCAAAAAGAAGTCTTGCCACTTTGAGAACATGGAGAGAACTGGGGGGGATGGGGGGGATGCTGAAAGATGAGTCAGTGAAAAAAAAAAAAGCAAATGCTAGATGATCTCACTCGTGAAATACAAAATTCGAAACAATGGAACAAGGCCCAAACAAACCCTTGAAAGCCTACAGAATGAGGCCACCTCAGGGGCAGGATGGCAGGGTGGGAGCACCTTGGCAGGGGCCAGTGTGCTGTGGTGGATTATTGGGGATTGGATGGCCAGTCTGGTGTCCGAGCACAGTTGCAGAGGTGTGAAACTACGCCTCTGAAACATACAATGTTGTAAGCGCACGTCACCTCGACAAACACATTTTTTAAAAAATATTTATCTATTTTTTTTTTTTTAGAGATTTCTGCACACAGAACTGGGGTACAGGCCTAAGGTGCATGAGCAGTGAAAGGCTTCACCAGAGACAGAGTCGGGAGCAGAACAGACAGACAGAAGAAGCACACTGCTGAGGGGAGAGACAGGCGAGTCGGAGAGGTCTGCTGTGCCGTGAGGGTCAGCTCCCTGGCAGGGATCCAACTTGTGCTGAAGTGGGTGCAGCCAGCTTTGTAGTGCTGCATTTTAAACCACTGCACATCAGGGAGGGCACACATTTTTTTTTTAAATATAAAAATATCACCTCCTAGTCCCCTGAAATAAATTAATTCATAAATTAATTCATACAGCTTCCACCTTTATTCCCTCCAAATATTTGATCACACTCTTTTATTTTGTTTATATCACCAATCACATCCTAAAATACTTCAATAACTTAGTAAAAAAAACAAAAAAAACAAAAACAAAAACAAAAAACATGCATAACTGTTTTTGCTGACTGGCCTGTACGCTGTGAGAAGTGGACATGTTGTTCCGAGCCCCTCTTCCAGGCCTGAAAACATGACAACGGCGTGGCTTGAAGAGAATTGTGCAGTCAATGCCTTATCGAACAATAATAGGTAATGAATGCATCTACATGTGAGCAAGGCAAAGATGGTTTCCAGTTTGATCTGTTGAGTTACTTTACCTACCTGACCGATATCTTTGCATTTTCCATTCAAGACCCTGCTTGGGCAGACTCAAACCATCCTGTGGTGTCACTGTGCACACATACTCCTCAGTGTCCCCATACTGAAACAGGACATTCCTGAGTCTGCCTAGGTTCTGCTTCTCTCCCAGGCCCGCTGCTGGGGGGAGCCTGTGGCTTGGATTCTGCTGCTGGCTGGAGCAGAAAGTTCCTTGCTGCTGTCCACAGTGGTAGCCATGGCTACCTGACCCCTCCCCACACAACAAAGAAAGCTTATGCTTGATGCATGAGGGGGCAGGGTTCCTCCCACAACCTGTATAAACCTCACCACTCCTGCAATGGGGGGCTCAGTCGTGTGGGACTGAGCCCACGGAGCCCCCAGGTGTGGCAAGTAAACCTCTCTCTCTCCACCTCTCTGAGTGCCATCTGGTTTCTCTGGGAAATTGTGACAATATAAGGAAGATTGTCTCTCTGAGCTATAGCAACCTAAAATGTACGTTGTGCATCTTGTACCTTGGAATTATTGAAGTATGAGGATTTATCTATATTCTTAGTATATGCTTCTAGAACTTTTAAAATACCTTGGCACCTGCAAATGAATTCTGTAAGTTGACTTTTCTTAGTTAGCTCTTTTAAAGTTTTCAAAAGAAAGCAAGACTTAGATAATATTTATATAAAATTTATATCCGTCTCTTTGAAAAGTCATCAAGGTAAGTATGAATTTACTGTTTATCTGTCGTTTATGTGCTGAGCTCTTTGGCATGGGAGAGGATTTCCTGACTTTCTGAACATTAAAGTAGAGGGAATTTAGTGGGTATTCTTTATATGATTTGAGAAATATTGAACACAATCAGTCATAAAAGACAATGACAAAATTCAGTGTCATTAGCATAAAATATATTTCTTTCATTTACCTTTTCCTTTGGCCCGATAACTTTGTTCAGAAAAAAAAAAAAAATTAAGTCACATAGCTAGAAAATCAGTCACGTTTGCAAGAATCATGGTTGTAAATCAAATAAGAAATTGTCGGGTCTGCATGTACCAAGGGCAAATTACTTTGAGACTTGTAGTTCAAATTTTGCTGGACATTTAACAGCTGCAGCATATTTCTGACAGATGGTATAACAGATGATTCTGTTTCAAATTATCTACTCAACTGTTAGATACTAGAAAAAAAAATAGGTTTGTGAGGTTTTAGCAAAATGAGTTAAGTTCTTCTCCAAATTATCTTCTAGTTTCACAGAAATATTTTCATTTTAAATAAAGTTTTAATGTAAAAATATAATTTCATAATAAATATAAGAGGAGACCATTCTAGGTAATGGAACCAGTATCACAGAAGGCATCAAGTATGGGCGTGCATAGTGCCTTCCAGAAGGAATGAGACACAAGCAGAGTCTTAACCAAAGATAAACCAAAATAAAACATTAAAGAAAACCTGTTATAGCTACACAACATGTTTTTCCTCATAATTTTCCCTTGGATTATTTATTTGTCTTTAATACAAAATAATGAAAATCAATTTTATCCTTTATGTACTCTAGAGGAGTTCTTCAAAATTTAGTTCATATTACTTCAGGAATTATGTGGTAGCACTATTATTAAACCAAAAATTCAGAGGGTCCACAGCCATGACTATATGTCCAAATGGTATCTTAACCTTCCATTATAATCTCTCTATGGACAAGCCTCTTTTGGATTGTGCCTTTGTTGATCCTTTGGTAAATGCTCATCTTTCTGACTCTCTAGTTTCATTGTTAGGTAACTCAAAGGCTATATTTAATCCAATAAGATGCAATGTACATATTGACAGCCAAGTGTCTTTTGTAAATGACTTAACCCACTTTTATCTTTAAATAATTGAGTGAAGTGCTTCAGATAAAGATCCTCCAGTGTTCCCAGCTCAAGTCACTTCTGATTAGATCACGCTCTCATCTGGTGTGGGGTGAGCAACGGAGCAGTACTAGAGTCGATAAAGGAAGCTGTAGGAGAATCTTCAATGAATCGACAAATATGTAAGGTATGTCGGGTTAAGAAAATCACTCTACACAGCAGTATTTATAGTAGCGCTCAGCTTTACAAAATGTGTACCTATAGATGAGAAAGTGATTGAAAGCAAGTAAATAGTGTTGTTGCCCATGACAGCACATTGATTATTAACCAATATTTCCATGTTTCCTACTTTTTTTTTTTGATGTTCTTCAATTTGAACATTTATAATAAGATATGAGAAATATGTAAAAGAGGAGAAGGACGAGAAAGATATTTTGGAAGATGACTGAACTTGGCTTTCAAAAGGATGTGAGAGACAATAGAGAGAACAGAGGTAAATATTAGAGATTTCTTCTGAGGGTGACAACAGATTGTAAAATCATTCAATGGATAAAGGCTATAAAATAAGGTGTTGGACTCGTTTGCTCTGATTGTTCATTAAAGCATGATGGTTGATACATTTAAGAGCATATGCCAAGATTATAGCTTTACACTCAATTGATTTCATGCTTTTAAGTAAAATTACCAGTCACTGTTTCTATAATTCGTTATTGAAATAACAAGGTTTGCCTAACCAGAGGTGTAAAGCAAAGGATGGAGCGCCTCCAGTCATTCCTGAGGCCTTTAAAACACCCATAAGTCCATGTAAATGTTAAGGGGAAGGATGTCCTAAAGGAACTCTGCAGAGTCTTGTGGACCCCACCCCCTATTCTAGCTTTCTGGACTCCACCCCCTACTCCAGTGATTGGAAACTACAACTCCCACCAGTACCAGGGAGAGAACTGGGAGGACCCAAGGGTGGAGCTAGCAGGGATTCTGGGACATTGGGGGATAAATAGGGCACCATTGCATCTCTCTCCTTTTCTCTCTCTCTCAGGAAACTGCACTCTGGACCGTGTGACTTGGTGTTTTCAGTCAGCCGAGCCGGTAAGGTATTCCAGTTACTTTATATCCTGCTCTCTTTCCCTGGGTTGTTGTTTCCTATTCCTTTCCCCTTTTGTAAATAAATCTGTTTTTGACCCTTTTGTGTGCACCTGCAGTATAACTGAATTTTGAGCGTGCTGGTGAGGCCCACAGATAGGTGGCCCAGTCCACTCTGGGCTGCCCTGTAACATAAAGGCACATCTTTCTTAGGCTTCCTTTGATGTCTGTGTGTTCAATTGCAAAGTGACACTGCTGACTGACTTCTCCCACATTGTAGCTCTGCTGATTGGTGTTCTTTTGACCTGGCTGCTTTTCCCCTCCTGAACAAAGTGGAAGGGAGTGAGATGAACCCTGGGTGTCCATTCCCAGCTTCTGACTGCCCATCTCTCACCTTTACTTTTTTTCAAATAACATCTTTTCT